ATTGATAGGAAACACATTCTTGCTTAGGCCAGACTCTGTAGGTTGGATTGGTGTGCAGAGCCAATAAATAAAGGGATAAAGCAGCCGCCCAGACTGGACTAGGGCTCCTGTGGAGAATAGAACCCCGTCCCTGGCTTGTGTCCTCAGCTGAGTGAAAAGCCCCGTCCGTGTCTGTCCTTGTGCACAGCCTTCCTGCTGTGTCAAACACCACAATTGGCACAGAGACAGAGAGAGGTGGGGCTTCCTTGGCGTCCACTGTGGTATCAGCCTTTTTGGTGGCTGGATGCTGGCTTGTGGGCTGGTAGAGCAGGAGGCCGGGGTAATAGGATGGGGTTGCTTGTTTCATTCAGCTTGGCTAGGCTGCACCGATGCAGCGCATCACGGTCATTTTTGCCCCTGGCCCCTCCTGTCTCCCTCTTCCTCCAAACCCCCATCCACCTCTACACTCTCCCCCATTTCTTTGCATAGCTCTTATGTATTTATTTAGGTGCTGTGGGGGAATGCAGGGCCCCCACATGCTAGGTAAACACTCTACCATTAAGCTATGTTCCATCCCTCTCCTCTTCCTCCTCTTCCTTCCTCTTTCTATTAGAAAACAAACCCAGGCCCTTCACCCTGAGCTACATCACCAGCCCATTATTATTGTTATTATTATTATTATTATTATTATTATTATCATCATCATCATCATCATCATCATCATCACTTGAGACAGGGTCTCCCTAGGTTGTCCAGGCTGGGCTTGAACTTGGAATCCTCCTGCCTCAGCCTCCCAGAATGAGAGGATTACAGTGTGCAGCGCTGTCCTTCTAACACTGCTCAGTGACGTGGGTGGAGCCAGAGCATCGAGGCTTTGCAGGGCATGAGCCACTCTGTGGCAAAGGCTGAGCCGAGCTTCTCTTCTGTGAGGTACAATCAGAAGGAGTCTGCTCGGTGCCTGGTGAAGAAGTGGCACCCAGGACTGTCTTGGGGGCAGGGAGTGAGGTCTTCTGCAGGGACGCGGTGGCCTCATCTATCTATTGCGGACAGAACGGTGAAGCGGTGCTGCTCCTCACATTTGACCAAGCTCTCTGAGACACCCTGTCTGAAGAGCCACCTCTTTATGATTAGGTCCAAAGACGCGAGCTGGCTGTGGGGTCACTGTCTGCTCCCAGGCCCTGTTTCCTTCTCCTTGTTCTCATGTAAGAATAGAGGAATTAAAGGAACACAAAACCAGGAGCCATGGAGGGCCCAGTGAAACTCGGGATGGTGGAGGAGACCCTGCAGCTCCTCCTGGTGCCCATCTCTCCAGCAAGCGAGGCTGGGATCTCCAGGCTTCCGAGAGGAGAGTGAAGCTGAACTTCTTCTCCCTAAGACAGTGCCCGGCTGCGTCATCCTCTGACAGAACCCACGCCCCAGACGTGCAGTGCTGATGTCAGTGTGGCCCTCAGCAGACAGCACAAGGATACCACACGTCCCCCAGAACCAGAACTCAAGGGCAGGTTTTCCTGACTCCATTTCTGTAGAAATATAGATTTGAGACAAAAGCCTGATGTCCCAAGAGAGCAGGGAACAACAGACAGAGCCCATGGAGAGTTGCTGTCTGTCTGCAAATTCCTGGAAAGCTGGGATTCAAGGTTGCAGATAACAGCTTCTCTTGCAAGTGCCCTGTTCTTTGATCCCTTGCTTGGGATGTTATCAGCTAGCATTTGTGTGGACCTAGCGTTAGGCAAATGGTGGAAGTCAATAGAGATAGTAGTTTGTATTCCCTTACGTAATTATGCACATTTCTTAGCCTGCCTTTACCCCTCAACTAATGTGGGATGCTCTGAGGCTCTGGGCTCTCTTGGAGAGAGACAAATCTGTGAGACCTCTGAAGCTACATTCATCAGGTCTTCTCATCGTTTCTTTCGGCACCAACCCGTAACATACAACATATTAAGATAGAAGTAAAATCCACACATTTCTACTCTCTAACTCCGCGACCTCATGTCTGGCACTCCCTGAACAACTGGGGTACCTGTAAATAGATGGTGCTTAATCCTGCCTCCCTGTGGCCTGGGAGCCTTTGAGTCTCTGCAAGCTCACTTCTGGACCTTTCCTAGGATGAGGGTCAAACCCTGGGGGGCTTTTCTGTGGACTTGAATGCAGTGTCATGCGGTAAGGTCACCTGGTAGTCCTGGGCATCCGGACTTCATTCTTTTGAGACAAGGTCTCCTCCTGCATGGTGCAGGCTAGCTGTGGATCTGTGGTCCTCCTGCCTCAGCCTCCCACCTGCTGGGATTACAGGTCTTCATCACCATGCTCAGCTATTCCTTCTGATGCCTGAATGAGATTCTGCTGCATAGCTCTTCATTATTTTCTAAAAGCCATTTTTCAACAAAGTATGTCCACTTTTTGGCTATTAGGAATAATGTTGATCTGCACAATCGTGAATGAGTTCTGTTTTCATGCATGTTTCTCTTTTTCTTAAAAGCTCAAGGGTAGGGCCTGTGAGATAGCTCAGCAGACTAAAGAGCCTGCTTAGGCAAGCTTAGGCAAGCTTAGGGACTGTTTTTTGATTCCTGGTACCACATGCCACGTCAGCCCCATTACCTTGGCAGGTTGAGCCAGCCACAGAGTCCAGGTGTAGTGGCATATGCCTGTAATCCCAGTGCTGGGGAGGGTGAAAACAGGAGGATCACTACAAGTCCCAGCTTTGTAGTGATACCCTGTAGACCCTATCCTAAATACAGAAAAGAAAAAAAAAAAGAAAAAGAAAAAAAGACCACATTACAGGAAAAGAGATAGCTCAGTGGTCTAAAGCACCTGCTTACATAAGCTTAGACAAGCACATAGACCACGGTTCAATCCCTGGCACATTTGGCACCAGTCCCACCCCTAGGGTGGGCTAAGCTGGCCACACACACACACACACAAAGACTACAGTACAGGCTGTGGAGCTGGCTTGGAGGTCTGACTACATCATATTTGCATACTGTGCTATTAGAATTTTTTTGGTGTGTGTATTCACCTGAATGCTATGAGAATAAATTCTAAACTTATGAACTAAGTTGGGGGTGTATCTCAGTGGAGGAGTGTTTGCCTAGCATGTTAGGCCCTGAGTTCAATTCCTGGTACTGAAAAGTTAAAAATAAAGTTACAAATTTATGAGAGGGCTGGAGAGATGGCTCAGTGGTCTAAAGCACCTACTTAGAACAAGCTTAGCAAAAGCATCAGGGACCGCGGTTCAATCCCCCAGCACCACATGCCAGCCAGCCCTGCCCCCTGGTGGGCTGAGCTGGCCTCTCTCTCTCTCTCTCTCTCTCTCTCTCTCTCTCTCTCTCTCTCTCTCAAATAAATAAATAAATAAATAAAATTTAAAAAAAAAATTTATGAGAATTCAGGTACCCACTTCAGTATTTCAGAGGAAATTATGATATGTAATTGTACACTTGTTACATAATATGAAAATCTGAATGAGTTTATTACTTTACTAATTCACAAACACATATACAATAAGATTAAAATATTAACAGTTGTGTGCCAGGCACAAGTACAAACCTATAATCCTAGCTCCTCAGGAGGCTGAGGCAAGGGGATCACAAGCAGGAGGCCAGGCTGGACAATTTAGGGAGACCCTGTCTCAAAGTAAAATAGAAAAAGAGCACAGTGTTGTCTGTCCGTGAGTGTCCTGTTGTATACTTAATTGTATACTTAATTTCTTTCTTTCTTTCTTTCTTTCTTTCTTTCTTTCTTTCTTTCTCTTTTCTTTTTTTCTTTTGAGACAAGTTCTGTGTAGTCTAGGCTGGCTTCCAACTCATGATCCTCCTGCCTCTATGGACCAGCATCACCAAGTACATCTTTTTTTTTTTTTTTTATAGTAGAATAAAGTCCTACGGTACAGCAATACCAGGCTTTTTAAAATCCACTTTTCAACTGCTGGACTTTGAGTCTGTCCACTTCCCAGCTCTTATGAATAGTACTGTAGCTCCTGTTCCTTGGATTCAGTCTGAGCAGGCGCATACGTACATGCACATGCACGCGCACACACATGCCCCAACCAGGTGGATATGCAGATTTCCCAGGCACCTGCGGGCTGCATCGCCAGGGTTGCTAGGCAACCCCTGCACAGGCCGGGTTCTTGGAAATGTTCTCTCTGCGGGGTCCAGGACAGCTTTGGTGGTGTGGGCGTAGCCTGTCTCCTCGGGCCTGGCCTCCTCTTGACTGTTGCTCCTGTCACACCGTTACCTACCTAACTTTAGAAAAGGCATCACATGGCCGAAAAGAGAAATCCTGGGCCTGGTTGGTGTCAGCAGACTCAAAGGAGAGAGACTTTCTCTCGACGCGAAGCAGCACCCTTCCGAGTCCTCAGGCACTGGCTGTGGAGTTTGCAATGTCTATGCCGCTGTCCAAGTCTATGTCTATGCCGCGTTAAGTCAGTGCACGGTGCCTTCCTCAGTCCTCTCTTGTGCTTGTTTTTGAGACAAGGTCTCTCAGGAGCCGAGGCTGGTCTCGAGCTTGGGGGATCCTCCTGCCTCGGCCACTGGCATGCTGAACCTGCACCACACGCCAGGGCACCTCCTGACTGTCGCAGTTGAGATCCCTTCCTGAGGTCACCCAAAGATGACCCAAGCCTCATTCACGACCACCTCCCAGGTCCTATTGTGGACAAATACACTTGCTCATTAATGCTTGGGGGGGGCTGGGGTCACCCAGATTTTCTCTCTAGGAGGCTGTGGGAGGATCACGGACGGACAGAGAGGCTAGGACAACTCAGATAACTGACCTAACCAGGTCACTGACAGCGGCCTGACAAGGGCCCAGGGCACGCGCGGGCCTGCAGTTTCGACGCTGCCCGGCAGGGGGCGGCACTGCGCGGAGCTGCCCGGAGGCCAGCTGCGCCTGCACTGCAGGTCTGGCAGCAAGCCGCGAGCATTTTAAAGTCATACACCAATATTTCCCCAGTAAGCGCCAAGAAATTGAGAAGTGAAGAAAGAAGAGAAGACGTGCGGGCCGCCCTTAGTCCACTCCCGCGCGCAGAGTTGCCGGCGCTCGTGGGCTCCCGGCGGCGCTTACAGCCCCAGCGTGCGGAAGGCGTCGCGCAGGTCGTCCACCTCGTAGAGCGGCTGCGGGAGGGCGGACGGGTGGGCGTGAGCCGGGAGTGGGGGTGGGAGGGGGTGGGGGGCCCCCGGGAACGGGGAAGAAAACCGACCCGGGGGGGGGGGGGGGGGGAGGGGGCGAGAGGGAGAGGGGAGAAGGGCAAGGGGAAGGGAAGGGGAGAGAGGGAAGGGACGGGAAAGGGGGATGGGAGAGGAGGAGGGGGAGGGTGGGAAGGATGGGGCAGGGGCTGAGACCCGGCCTTACCAGCAGGATGCGCCGCAGCTGCCTGGACAGACGGACCGAGTTCTCGTGCAGCCCCTCCCAGGCCTTGAAGGTTTTCTCGCGATTCTCGACAAAAGTATTCCAGCAGTAAAAGTAATCTTTAACAGAAAGAGGGTGGGGAGAAGACAGGTTAAGTCTTGAATAGGGAGAGGAACAAACCGTGGCCCCCGTTCCTCACCCACCCAGGGCTTTGTGTTCAGGACGCGCGTCTTGTCCCTCGGATTCTGCCTGCAGAGAGAGCGCTCTGGGAGTCTGAGGCAGGAGGGTCTCAAGTTTGAATCCGGTTTGGGCAATTTAGCAAGACTCTGTCCCAACCCAGCGGCCCCTGCAGAGGAAGTGCCTGGGAGCCGAGGGTCCCGCCCCCTCCGCCGCACCTTTGAAGGTCATGATCCCAAGCTGGACGCCGGCGCGGTGCAGCCGCCGCAGCCCCTCGGGCTCGGCCTTGCGGTCCTCGCAGAAGTAGAGGCGCGCCGTGAAGATGCGCAGGCTGAGGTTGGGGTTCCCGCGCAGGAAGTCGGCCACGTGCCGCGCGCAGTCATAGCAGGGGCTCCAGGACGTGAACCAGGTGACACGGTAGCAGCGGCCCGGGTCCAGATCCCAGGCGGCGATGTAGCGCAGGAACAGCAGCTCCACGTGGCAGCCGGACTGCGGGGCCGATAGGGCCTGGTGACCGCGGGGACTGGGACCGGGCCAGCCCTCCCTCACGCGGAGGCTGGTTTGGAGAACCAGATTAAAGCGGCCCGTCCCGGAGCGGCCGCAAAGTGGCGCCAGAGCCCGCACAGTAGTCTGGGCAGCGCCTGCCAGACCCGTTCTGGAGACGCTGACGCTACCCGCGGTGCAGCCGTGCAGTGCTGCCTGCCCCAGGGAGCTCCGACAACCACCTCCAAGGGCAAGGCTCGTGGCCCCAGGACACGACGCCGCTGGGTTTCTGGCTCTGCTGTTTGCGAGATTGACAGGCTGTGCAGCGCTCAGTGCCTCGGTTTCCCCATCGGTGAAAGGAGCCGCATTGACATGTGTCAAGCTAGGGGTCAGGGAAGGTGCTCTGGAATAGCTCATGTGTCCTCTCAGGGTAGGACAGGGGTTGGAGGTAGCATAGGATGGCGAGGTGAGCAGCCCAGCACAAATTAGGCGGAGAAAATCACAGGACTGGTAACAGTCAGTGACGCTCTGTGTCAGTGACCTGGCCCCCGGCTGCTACCAGAGACCTCACAGCATGTTATGAAGAGACCAGGCACCACTGCTGGAGCAAGCCCTGTGGGATTTGGGGTAGTCCCAGAAATGTCATTTTTTTCAGGCAGCTCAGAGTGTGAGTTCATTAACTGATCAGAGCAGAATGTGGTGGTGCACACCTGTAATCCCAGCTCTGAGGAGGCTGAGGCAGGAGGATTGTTGTGAGTTAGAGACCATCCTTGGCTACAAAGTGAGCTCAAGGCTAGTCTGAATGCTGAACTATATAGCAAGATCTTATAAAAAGAGAGAGAGAGAGAGAGAGAGAGAGAGAGAGAGAGAGAGAGAGAGAGAGAGAAAACAGCTTTTGCTTGAATAGGCCGCTAATGTCCCCAAGCCAAATGCTCTTATTTTACTCCAGAGGATTGGAAGCCCTGAGGATGGATGGCCTGCAGGATTGGGGAGGATGTTAGGTGACACATTTGGCTGGCCAGCCACTCTTACACAGTGCTATCCATCTGGACAGGAAGGGGAGAGCACTGGGGGTCAGGCCAAGCTGGAAGGGCCTCGGACCGGTGGCTCCTGCAGGAGCCAGGGGTCACATTATCAGGGGTCACATTAGCATCTCGCCCCTGGGAGTGGTCTACCTTGTTACGGAGGTAGCCGAAGTCTAAGGAGAAGGAGGTGGCACTGTCCCTCCGCTTCACCACGTAGCACAGGTAAGTTTCATGCCGCCCCTTGGCCCAGCGGACGTTTTTGAAGTGGTAAAGAAACTTCTTTTGCTTCATCAGGAGACTGTGGGTGGGAGAGAGAGGAAGATACAGGCCGTGACAGGTTCAGGTGACGTGGTCCTGCTGTCATCGCTGTTGCCTGACAGTGCTAGGAGGAGCCCAGAGCCTCACATGGGCCGGGAACCCACCCAGGATTGTCTGGAAATCGTGTCACCACTGGCTGGATGCCTAAGCCCACTGAGCCTGCAAACCACCATCGATGCCTTTTGCTGCTCAGAATGGAGACCAATGGAGCGATGCTCAATGGACTCCTGAACCGCTCGACGCAAGCCCTGAGCTCATCTGCGCCCGGAGAGACACGATCTTCTCAATGTTGGGCAAATACGGCTGGAGCCGCAGGGTGGTTTGGTCAGCTCATCTCCTGCCCACTCCTGCTGCCACTCAAGCAGGTGCAGTTTGACCTATGGCTCTTTCTTTGGATGGTCCACAGGATCTCACTGCGTAGATGGGACTCATAGTGACCTTCCTCTTTACAGCTGAGCACCACCACGCCCAGTCTCAACTGCCGTCTCTGTGTGCCCCAGGTGCGGGGCTTGCATGGCAGGCTGGGGATCGAACTCCTGGCCCCTGTGTCTGCCTAAGCAGGCACTTTAATTCGCTGAGCTATTTGGCTGACCCTTGCTGTTTTTTGTAAATGTGTCTGCTTAAGGAGTGTGGGCTGTATCTGAAAAGAATATATTATTCTCAGAGCAAAGTGGGTGAAAGCAAGCTGGATAACAGTGCAACTGCTGTGATGAGCCACATAAAACTGTGCATTTGTGCAGGCTTCGCGAAAGCGTGGAAACGGGGAGATAAGCAGGAGTCGCTTCTGCCCTTCCCTGTGCTGACAACGCCATCTCCCCGCCCTCAGTGCCACCAGGTCCACGCTCCTTCCAAAGCGATGTCCCCTCTGCCACTCAGAGCCCTGCTCACTCTTCTGCAGACTCAGCCTCAGCTCTCTGAGGGCAGCAGCAGGCAGCCTCTCTGGTAGGGCCCCAAGGCAGCGTTTCTGACACCTGTCCTGCTCTCCCTTCCGGCTGTTTCGGGCCTGGCTGCTGCTGGCCTATGTCCCTTCAGCATTTTCTTTGGGGCTCCCTCGATGGTGGTTTTCTTCTCTCTGGGCTGAACACTTCCTACTTTTTCCCTTTTCAGAGCACTAGGGTTTGAACCAGGGTCAGACGCATGCACTGTACTACTGAGTTGCAGTCCAGGGCAATGCAGGTGCCCTGTGCCAGCCAGTATAAGATCTTTCTGGGCCAGATGTGGCAGGGCACACCTGCAAACCAGCACTCTGGGAGGCCGAGGCAGGAGGATTTTACCTTTGAGCCCAGTATGGGCAACTTAGTGACTCAGAGCCTGTCTCAGGATAAGAGGTGCTGAGTTTGTAGCTTAATACAAAGGCCTTAGGTTCAAACTCTGGCACCACAAGCAGAGCAAAACCAAAACTTTCAGAAACTTTCTCACCACTATTACCCCAGATTTTTTTTCTTTTTCTTTTTAAAATTTTTTTTTACCCCAGATTTTCTAAGGAAAAATATAAGAGCCCTCCTCTAATTTCCTGTTATATTCCAATTTACCACTTGCTGACATCTCAGCGTCCCCAGTGAGATATTTTCCATTTTGAGGCCATGTCAAGTTTATAAGTATGCTTTTAATGTGTAAGAGTAGCCCTTGATTATTGTAAAATTGGAATACTCCGGAAAAGTAAAGTTTTAAATTTTAAAATATTAAAAACTTAAAATTTAGAAGGCCTTGGCCAGCCAGATAGCTCAGCAGATTAAAGGGCCTGCTTAGGCAGACTCAGGGACCGCAGTTCAATCCCTGGTACACCGTGCTGACCCCACTCCCTACCCCCGGGGCACTCTGAGATGGCAACTGAGACAGGGCATGTTGGCACGTGCCTCTAATCCCAGCACTTGGAAGGCTGAAAATAGAAGGATCACTAAGAGTGCAATCTGTGTAGTGAGACCCTGTAGACCCTGTACTAAATACATACTGTAGACCCGGTACTAAACACATACTGTAGACCCTGTGCTAGATATATAAAAAGAAAAAATTAGAAAGCCTTAATGTCTAATGATGAAGCATTCTGTATAATGACAGTGACTCTTAAAGAGCACCGGGCCGGGGAGATAGCTCAGTGGCATAAGTGCCTGCCTGGCAAGCCCAAGGTCCTGAGTTTGATCCCCGGTACAAAAAAAAAAAAAAAAAAAAAAACAGTAGTAGTTTCTCTCCTGGTCTTTTTTTATGGGCGCGTGCATCATCCCATGGTCATTGCACAGAAGGAATTTGTACTCTGTTGGCTCTTTCTCCCCAGCACTGGGGATCCAACCCAGACCCTCCAGCCTGCCCTCCACTGCGGACTGCGTTCTCAACCCTCTTGCTGGTTGCGCCCACTACAGTCTACCGCCTCTGTGTGCTGTGCTGCAGCCACACACAGCGACTTCGACGCCGTCTTTGTCTCCGGCTTCTAGCACAGGATCTCGCCTATCGGGAGCACCCAGTTGAATTGACTGAAACCTTCTCAGGCAACTCAGGTTTCTTTAAATAAACCAACAGTCCTCCTTACAGAGGAAAACAGGAATACAAGTTGCACGGCGTGCATGCTGCAAAGCAAGAGCCGCAGCATTTGCCGCCCTCAATTTGCCCAGCTTTTATCCAACAGGGGAGGTGGTGCTGCCTCCTAGTGGTGATGGGCAGAAGCGCAGAGCACTTGCAAAGTGGACTCTAAACCGGAATTTGAATACGGTTTGCTGGTGAGAGAATTGAAACTTTGTTACTTTTTTGGTCACACTGAAGTACAATTTACATACAGTAAACTTTGCCCGCAGTCTGTGAACATTGGCCCATGTAAACACCCAGCGCTGACCACCCCCCCCATCGTGTTACTGAGCATTTCTAGGGCTCCGGCCCCCAAGACCTCCTTCAGCCCCTCTGCAGTCAGCTCTGCCCCGGCAGCTGCTGGCTGACTGGATCTTCGATGCCCCGAGTTACGCCTTATCCTGTATCCTCTACTCCTCTGGGTCTCACTTCTTTGGCCCGTCCCTGGGGCCCGCCGTGTCCCTGGCTGGACCCTTCTGGCTGCATAGGGTGCCACTGTGTGGCTTGTCCACTCCCTAGGTGGCATTTGGGGAAACTCTGGGGGCTGTTGTGATCATTCATGTGCCAGTCTTGGGACATTAGTTGAAAACTAATACATTAAGAGGATAGATATTTCGAGTGGCAAAACCCTGACCTTAAAAACTGGTTCCCAAAATGTCGATGTTATGCTGTATAATGTTGGGGCTTGGACTGACATCTAGGATAAGAGCCAATTTTTTTTTCTAAGAGCCCATATTGGTTTCAATTTCACACACATGAAACTTACTGGAAAGTATTCGAAATTAAACCTTAAGACAACTAGGTTTGTTATCAGCTTAAGTATTATGTATATTGAAACCATGAACATTGGTCAACCAAGCTGGCTGTGGTGGCATAGGCCCATAATCCTAACACTCTGGGGGCTGAGACAGGAAGATCTCAAATTTGAGCCCAGCCTGCACGATTTAGTGACTTAGCAGGACCTTGTCTCAAAATTAAAAATAAAAAAGGGCTGGTATGTAGTGCACTGTGAAGGTTCAGGGCTTAATTCCCAGTACCATGGAAAAAAATAGGTCAACATTATTCATTTAAAAGGTAAAATGAATTAAATTAAAGTTCTCATCCTTGGCACCAAAATAAGTATAACTGGCAGGAACACAAAATGGATACTAAAGAGGTCCCAACAATGACACCATGACAATTACTGTTACAGAATTAGCATGTAGTAACTCATAACATATTAAGCCCAACACATAGTAGGTACTTAATATGAACACAAAAGAAAAATAATAATTTCTTTGGAACAGTTGTTTTGTGGTACCGCAGATTTAACAGAAGCGTTGAGCTATATCCCCAGCAGCCTCCTCCCTACCTCCAGGTTTTTTTTTTTTTGTTTTTGTTTTTTTTTCTTGAGACAGGGTCTTGCTGTGCAGTTCAAGCTGGTCTTAAGCTCACTTTGTAGCCCAGCCTGGTCTCAAACTCACAACGATTCTCCTGCCTCAGCCTCCTGAGTGCTGGGAGTATAGGGTGTGCACCACCACACCTGCTGTCTTTTTCTTTTTGAAACAACTTCTTGCTTAGTTACCCAGCTGGTCTCAAAGTTTTGGTTCTCCTGCCTCAGCCTCCCAGTGCTGGGATTACAGCAATGCACCACCATGCTTTGCCTTGTCAATTTAAAACATATTAAGCTTCATCTCTTACCAGTAACTTCCCTTTCTGTTTAAGCTGCCATCTAGGGCCAGCCAAGTAGCTCAGCAGATTAAAGTGCCTGCTTAGGCTGATGCAGGGGCTGGGAGTTCAAACCCCGGGCCTGCCGGCTCCACCCCCAGGGCATGCTGAGATGGCAATTGAGACTGGGCGTGGTGGCGAGCGCCTGTAATCTCAGCTCTTGGGAGGCTGTAAACAGGCACATCACTACAAATGTGATCTAGTAGTGAGACCTGGTACACCCTATCCTAAATACAAAAATAAATAAATAAAAATAAATTGCCCATCTCCATCTGTGCCACAGAGACAAGAAAAGTGGGGAAAACTTAAAAAAAAAAAAATTGCAGTACTCAGCCCTGGAAGACTCTTTCAGGTGTACTGTGGGTGGGGTGTGCACGTGAGTGTGCATGTGCGCGTGTATGTCCTGTTACAAAAGAGGAAATATTCTGGAAGTAAGAGGAGCAGGATGTGACATACTGAAGGAATTTGAGAGCCTGTGTTCCGCAGCCTCTCAAGGCAGCAGGATGACAGCTGTCCCACAGCTGTGTCCCCTGGGGCAGAACACCTAGTGATGCAAACCGGGGACAGATGGGTTAAAAATAAGCCTGAGCGAGCCACCCTCCAAGCTCCTGTGTGGGGTCTAGGGCGCTGCTTTCTCCTGTGCATTCCTTTGTTCTCCTTCCTTATTGGTCTTTGTATTTCCTTCTGTGTGAGCAGTACCTTCAGCCCCAGGGTGCCAGGAATTGAACCCAGGACCTTGCACATACTTAGGCAAGTGCCTCGCCCCTGAGCCACACTCCCAGCCCTGACATTAAAGCACTTACCTCTGTAGTGTACAGTCTATATAAAAAATTAAACCAAGATGAAATATGTGGATTAGGTGTCTGTCTCAGACATTCATAGTAATCATGAAAACAAGTGGAATAAGCTCTAGGTCAATAACTTTTTATTTGTTTCGTTTTGTTTTGCAGAACTGGGGATTGAACTGAGGCCCTTGCACTTGCCAGGGAAGCACTTATTCTACTGAGCCATCTCCCTGGCCCCGTCAATAACTTTTTAAATAACTTATTATAAACTATGTGAAGACACTGAAAATCTTATAGATTCTATATTCAAGAATTAAGTTAAGGCTGGGGATATAGCTCAGTGGCACAAGTGCAAGATCTTGAGCTCAATTCCTTGCAGCTCCCCCGAAAATAAAGAATTAAGTTAAACTAGGTCTGAACAAATAGAAAGATAAGCAACAAAAATGCCATTAGTTGGCCAACAATTAGGCCTGTAATATTAAATAACTTGCTTCCATGAATTCAAGCCATTAATCATGATATTTGGCATTCAAAATAATACCAGTTTCCTTACTGTAGCTCAGTTATTTCAATAAACTCTCTTGAGGCAGGTTTGTCTTTAAATGGCTTTGTTGTTGAATACTTGCAAAACTATGACAAAAATGGCCACTACTGTTTTTAGTACAATGTGGCTATGAGTGTCTCATGATTTTAGGCTATAAAAACCTGTTAAATTATTACTGTAAACCACTTCTAGTTAGGCCACAAGTCTCAAGACGACTCAGTGCATCACACAGGATATTTCTGGTGGACCTGCCCAGGGCAGCAGGTGGGCTCCCGTGCAGTGACCATGCAGATCCCCAGCCCAGGATGCAGACCTGCCCCTCACCTGTCCATGGCGGTGTCCAGCGTGCCTGCCTTCCTGAAGTCCCGGCCCAGGAGCTCTTGCCTCAAGCAGTGCTGCCTCGCTGCCTCTGTCTGACACAGCCTTGGCCTCACATTCAAATTTGAGCTCGTTCTGGGGGCTCCTCCCCAGACCCGTCATCCCACAGGTAGCCCAACGGCCCCCGGTTTGGTCCAGTGACAGTGGGTGGAGCTGTCACACGTAGGGTCACATGGGTTAAATGAGCTCAGCTCTGCCTCATGTTTGGGTTCCTTTAGGGTTGCTTCTCTAAAGAGCCAGGGCATGCACTTTGTTCCCCATATGAGCAGCAGCCCAATGGCCCATGTAGGCAGTGAAGACAAGGGGCAATGGCAGCAGACAGTTTTTAAATTATAATCAAAGAAATGAAATATAAATCTAGGTGTAGCTATAGTTTTTTTTTGCAGTGCTAGAATTGAATCTAGGGTCCTCTGTAAGTCAGCAAGCACTCACTACTGAACTACTGGATATCCCCAGGCCAGTAAGCAGTTACTTTGAACTGGGTGGAACAGGCCTGTAATCCCAGCATTCTGGAAGGCTGAGGCAGGAGGATATTGCAAGTTCCACCCCAGCCCAGGCAATTTAGCAATTTAGCAAGATGCTGTGTGAAAATTTTAAAAATCAGGGCTGGGGAGATAGCTCAGCATTCTAAGCATCTGCCTGACAAGCACAAGGACCCGGGTTCAATCTCCAGTACTGCATGTCACACTGGCCCTGGAAGCCTTGCCAGCCAGCAGACCGGGTGTGGTGGTACAAGCCTGTAATCCTAGCGCTGGGGATGCTGAGACAGGAGCATAATCAGGAGTCTGAACTGCATAACAAGACCCTGTATCAAATCAATCAATAAAAATTAAAAATAACAACAAAGCAAAACTGGGGATGTAGCCCTATGCAAAGGCTCCAGGTTTAATCTCCAGTATTAGGGGGAAAAAAAAAGAAAAGAAAAAAGAAAAGAAAAATCCCTACAACATATTTAATTTTTTAATAAGGGGCTGGTGAGATGGCTCAGTGGAATAAACGCTTCCCTGGCACGTGCAAGGGCCTGAGTTCAATCCCCAGTTCCGCAAGAAAAAAAAAAAAAAAAAAAAAATATATATATATATATATATATATATATATATATATATATATATATATATCAACTCCAGTTCCCCCAGGTTGTGCTATATTCTGTGCCTCAGAATCTTATTACGGCTTATCGCGTTACGGTGCATCTGTGTTAACTTTCGCTTTCCCATTTATCTGCTGGCCGGCCCTTGGATCGTTTCTACCCTTAGCTACGTAAATAGTATGGCAGAACCATTGGTCTGTGCTGTCGGGGTCCCTGCCCTAAATTCTTTTGGATGTGTATGTAAATGTGGAAGCACATGCTTCTTCTTTTTTTTTTTTTCTCCCCACCTGGTACATGCTATCATGTGCTTTTCAAATTTTTCATTTATTTTTAAAAACACAAAACAAATTTTTTAAAATAAGTTGTGCAGGGTCAGCCAGATAGCTCAGTGCATTAAAGTGCCTGCTTCGGCAAGCGCAAGGATCAGGGCTCAATCCCCAGCATTCTGTGCCGGCCCCGCCTGTAATCCCAGCATTGGGGAGGCTCAAAACAGGATTACTATGAATCTGAGCTGCATAGTGAGACTGCTGTAGACCCTGTACTAAATACATAAAACAAAGACCACAATATCTAGTGTACTAGCGTATGTGTAGTGCGCAGTGTTCGCATTCCTTGGGCAGAGTTGGTGCAGGTACGCCACACATCCCTGCTCTTCCACCCTCTATCTCCTGACCCTTTCCCTTCTGAGAATGATTATCTCCCTACTTCCTATTATCTATCCTTTGTTGTGCTCTTTATTCTTCATTCTGAGTTTCTCATCCAAAAGAAACCATGTAATATTTGAGCTTGTGTGTCTGAATTGCTACACTTAGCATTATGGTCTCTCAGTGCCTTCTTTTTCCTGCAGAAGACTCAGGTCTGTCCTTTGTAAGGATGCCCTTGCGTTTGGACCCTGACCACGTCTTTCTTCTCTGTGTCTGACCACCATGAAGCAAGCAGCTTTGCCGCTTCAAACCCTTCCACCAGTATCATCTGCCTCATTATAGGCCTGGAACTCATAGAGCCAGCTGACCTTAGACTGAAACCCCTTTTTTAAAATTTTTTCGTGTGACAGGGTCTCGCTGTGCAAGTCAGCTGGTCTTGGGCTCACTTTGTAGCCTGGGCTGGTCTGGAAGACCCAGTGATCCTCCTGCCTCAGACTGCCAAGTGCTGGGATTACAGGCATGCGCCGTCATGCCTAGCTGGACTGAACCCTCTTAAACCATGAGCCTAAATAAATATTTTTTCTCTTTTAACTTTTTTCTCATATTTTGTCAGTGACAGAAAGCTGACCAACATATATCTTTACTGAGTATGGGTTGACTTTGCACCTTTTGTTTATTCCTTTCCTTCACCATATGCACTTTTATATCAGTACTGTTTTGATTACTTTATTTTTCTAATGTAATTTGAAATAAAATGCATGTTGCCTGCAACTTTGTTCTTCTTTCTTTCTTTTTTTTTCGTTCTTTTTTCTTAAGGTTGATTTGTCTACTCAGGGTCTTTTGCAGTTCAGTACAAATTGTATAATTATTTTTACTGTTTCCATGAAAAATAGAATTTTGGTGGAGTCGTGTTGATCCCTTTGGTTAGTATGGAAATTTTAACAATACTAACTTTTCTTATCAATGACCATGGATATCTTTTGATTTGCTTGAGTCTTTTTCAGTGTCTTTCACCACTATTTTATAGGTTTCAATGTATAGTATAACCTTTATGGTTAAATTTGTGACCAACTATACTATTATTTTTCATGCTGTCATAGATTATTGTTTTTCTTTCCTTTTCAGATAGATCATTATTTATGTAAAGAAATAACTGATTTTTTTTTTCATGTTGGCTTTGTATCCAACTTTACTGAATTTGTGTATTAGTTCTGGAGTGGGTATGTGTATATGTAATCCTTAGGCTTTTCTACTTACTAGGGAATCTACAAACCAATATAATATGACTTCTTCCTTTCCAATTCGGCTGCCTCTTATTTATTTTCATTCTGTGATTGCTCCTGTACCTGTTGTTACACAGAAGGGAAGTGGGCATTCCCTAGTGGGCATCTTTGTCTTATACTTGATCTATGAGGACAAGTTCTCAGTTTCTCGCATTGATTATGTCATCTCTGTACTTTGCGTGCCTTTTACCATGTCAAGGCAATTTGCTACTATGCCAGTTTTGATAATTTGTTGTTGTTGTTGTTGTTGTTGTTGAGTCCCACTGGCTGAACTCAGGGCGCTCTAACCCTGAGCCAAATTCGTAGTCTTGTCTTATTTTTTTATTTTGAAACAAGACCTCACTGAGTTGCCTAGGTCGGTTTCAAATTTGTGATCTTTATTCTGAGGAGCTGGAATTATAAGCATACACCATTGTGCATAGCTTAATGAGCATTCTTATCATCTATGGATGCTCAACTTTGTCAGATGTTTTTCTGCATCTATTGAAGTGATTATGTTGTTTTCAATGTAGTGTGTGATACTGATTCATTTGCATGTGTTAAATCCTCCAGTACTGAAAAAAAAAATCCGCCCTGTATCTCAGTCCCCAAAAACATGAACCAAGTAAGTTTCTACTTTGGAAAATAATTTACCAAATCTACAGTATTCTGTTATAGCAAGAGAAAACAGACTAAGACAGGATCTTAATTGACTTGGCCATGTCAGTCAAGAAATCCTCTTCTGAGCTAGTGAGCATCCCCCTAGTGCTTTACTGCATCATTTAGAGTTGCTGGAGAGTTGATGGACTGTATCCTGCAAACATACTTAGTGCTTCTTGTAGGACAGACTATTGATGGGCTAATATTATCACTTAGTTATTCTGACTGATCAGACCCATAATCTCCCAAATGAGTGTACTGCAAAAGCTTTTGTGTGTGTGTGTGTGTGTGTGTGTGTGTGTGTGTGTGTGTGTGGTACTGGGGATTGAACTCGGGATACTGTGTTTGCCAGGCAAGCACTTATTCTACTGAGCTATCTCCCCAGGCCCTGCAAAAGCTTAAATAAAAGAGTCAAATGGTAAGAATTTTGGGGGCTCCAGGAAAATCAAAACCCTCTAACCGAATTCAAGATTCTTTGGGAGCTAAGATAAAGAACTTGAACAGCTGCTATCAAACAAGGCAGGAAGATACTGAAGAAAAAATCAGAGCAGGACCTCCGGAGTCAGTTCAAAGACTTCTCCAAGTAATACCTTGTGTTAATTTAGGAGAACTATTTTATCTCCAGGAAGGCCTTCACAGCAGGAATGAAATGCCTGAGGCTACCATCTTTATCTAATTAATTGGGGTTGCAGCCAGGCTTTGTCTTGTCCTTTGAGGCTTTACAGCTGCACCCACCTTTCAGCCCTCAGCCAGGACCAGTGACTCTTGAGGTTCACTTACTCTAGTCCATCTCCATACAAGGGTCTTGGCTTGGGACTGACTCACAAGTAAACATGGAAAGCCCATTGGTTAAATTTCAGTCCTGCAAAAAGCCGCTTCGTAGTGGTCTCCATCAGACTATGACTAGCACATAAAAACATCAAGTTGATCTTGCAAATAATTAGGTCTACAGCTAACTGAAATATAGGCATGTTTTGTCCAAGAGGCTCTGCTGCCACACCTCTGTGTGCGTATTTGTTGATTCGGTTTTACAGAGTGTATCTGGCAGGGCGTTGGCAGAGCCTAATAAACACAGTCCTCCTTCATTCCTGTGTGAAAGCTTCTTGGGTTCTGAGGTGCTTCCTCTATGGTGCACGTTGTGTAGAGTCTCAGCCAGGGGTGCTGGGAGGCCCAGGCGGGCGGATCACAACTTCACACCCATGCTGAACAGTTAAGCAGCTTCATGAAAACCTGCCTCAAAATAAAAACTAAAAAGGAGCTGAGACATAGCTTAGTGCTAAGGCCTTGGGTTCAATCCCCAGTACCACAAGGAAGAGGAAGAAAAGGAAATTCCAATATACAAATGTCAGCTTCAAGTATTCAGT